TGTCCGGCAGAGACTCGTATTAAAGATCCGAGTCTATCTCTAGAAGGAATGATTGATACCTTAGATTGTTCAAGTAATCAAGCATTTTTTAACAGGGATTCTAATACATATCATAATGTTTTAAAAAGGTTCATCTCTATTGGCTGATCCCTATTCTTAAAAGATTCTGGACTGTCTCAGAAGGGAAAATTCCTCATTGGGACATCCCTACGTCAGAAACTTATGAAGTGTTCCAGAAATGTTCTCATACTCCTGTCAGTTCAATGAATCATCAGGTCTATTTGTAAAAAGAAGTCCAATATAACCTTTTGCATTACACCAGTGAGCCCCCCGCCCCCCCAGGAAAATGTCTACCACTACATAGAACCATTACACGTGTCCTCTGCTGTTTATTAAAACATAATACTCATCTGTAACAAGTGTCTGGGAGCCATCATCTGGTGGCTCCGGAGGACTCTACGCCTTGTCTGAAGTTTGCTTTAACTGCAGACAGGAGGTGCCTGTTGTCACTCTTTATAAAACATATCCTACATGCTGGAGATTGTCAGTGCCTTCCTTTTGTTGAGACACTCTGTTTATGCATCTGGTAGAGGTTCTCCGAGGGGAGACTGTTGTCCAGAGATGTTAGGAAGTTCACAATATTTCTAGTATAGAAGGAGTAGGAGTGGCTGTTTCATCTATGAGCTCTGACACTAAGAAAGGGGAGGCCTAATCAATCACGTAACAGGCTGCAAGAGATCAAAATTTGCAGACAGCTTACTAAAAACACCCAAGTATTGACACAGTATGTATCCTGAATTATTGTGAAATGATATCAGTATTGTAATACCTCAAATTAACAAGCTGTCTCCACAACAAAAGGCCAAGACAGGATTTGTCAAATGGATGATTATGATGTGGAAATGATGAGTGCCTTCAGATATTTACTTTGAGCTGTTTTTCAGCTGATCTCTCATATTTACATACTGTCCTAAACAACATTTTGCTCTAGTACGCCAAGCACACCGATGAACTAGCCGTTAATGGAAGAATAATTCTCCTGCATTTGTGAGTGAGAGACAGAAACCAGTGACCCTGTCAAACAAGAGGAGGGCAGAGAGTGCACGGCCTGCTTTGTGTGCAGAACGTGTGTGAAGATGAAGAACATGTACAACATTACCAGTGAACCCTAAGTGAATCCTTTCAAAATGATTCTTTGTACTCCCTTTTCTCCTGCCTCTGACGCAGAGGCTGTCCATTTTTTGTGCGATATCACTATTGGCTCATACAATATAGCAAAGAGTTGTTACTCTAATAAAGACATTTTCAGGAGCAAAGTTTGCAATCCTTCCTGTTAGAATATTGCTGTGTCCAACAGAAAAGACAAAGAGCTACAAAGACGGTTAGATAAAACTCAGAACAGCCACCTAGACCATCTACAGGGAGCTTCCTCTACTTGAGTTATGCAGAATATAAAGCAGCATTCAATATGCAGGATCGGAAAGCTTTTTCTTTTTTAACAAGCACAAATAAGAACTACATCCAAGTGGAATCAAGGACATTTCCAGAAGCTGATTTTTTACAAACTACTTGGATTATCTGGTCTTGGTTTCTAACAAAAAGTTGAATTAAATGAGAGGAAAGCCAGGAAACATTGAAATATGAATAATAAATTGACCACAAACTTAGATCCTTTTGATTATCTGTTAATAAAATCATTTTGTCAAATAGGATGTCCGCTTTGGCTATACTAAGAAGGGAAACATGAACAACTTTCAGATGATTTGATATTTTAGATAAAGACCTGGTAAATTAAAGGCTAATTACTGTGATGTAAAGAATACAAAAATCATCCAAAGTTTTTAGCCATGTCTAACGTACTATTTGATATGTTAAACTTTTGGATCTCATTAGATAAAGCATTTTCTGTTGAATTTCAGCGCCTAATATAGTCTGTACAGCTGTTTCACAAATAGAACAAAACACAATGAGGTAAATGGAGGGGAAAAAAAGGCTGCGGGAAACAGAACAGCCGAGACAATCTGGACATGCATTTTTAGTTCTCTTATCATTTCTCCCGAAGCTCGAAGGACACAGAAACAATACGCGTGACCTGATGGCCTGGCATCTACTTGAGAACAGCCTGCTTTGTTTTTAAAATACATCGCTGACAGTTATATCCATGTGGTGGACGTATAGATGAAGGCAGCAGTAGGGTACAGAAAGCTTTTGAGCCAAGATGTTAGCAAGTGCAACATGAGACTCTCGATAACATAATGGAAAGTGTCCCCTTTATCTTATGAATGTAAACACCCAGGTTTTACACAGATTGTAAAAGTTTATGTTAGCCAACAGAACAGTTCTGGACTGTTGAAACTGCTCACCATCACTAGGGGTTGTTGACTGCTATGGTCATGTGGAACTGTATCGCTGGCTCTACTGCTGGTTGTGTTGAATTTCTGCTGAAAGCTTTAGTTTGTACTCCTCTTTAACTAATACAAACCATAAAACTGTAGAAAATGCCAGAAAAGGGATTAAGAGACTATAAAAATAGACTTTATAGATAATTATTTAACGATATTCACAAGCTAAAAAGGGGGCAGTGTATATTTTCCATTCTGTAGCTCTGAGACAAAAACTATAAAGTTGGGTCTTCAAAACTATTAATAATAATTACATGATATATAATATATAACTAGAATTATATTATTTATTTTTGCTATTGTTATTTTCAGATTTCTGCACATTGAAAAGATATAACCTGATATAACCAAAAATATTGTGAAACTGTGTTATATTTTACATTTATTTTTACACTCATTCAACTGATATCATCTCTCATTCTGTTGAGAAAGCATGTGCAATGTTGAGACTGAAAAGGATCTTTTATATTAATGAGTATCTTTTTATGCTTTTAAGTATTTGGCGTATTTTTATTGCCATGGTATCAAATATGATTTCCAGTATCGAATATTTTCCCGGGTATCGAAATCACGTTTGAAATTTTTGGATCACGACAACCCTTCTATAAAGTCACTTAAAAAAAGTGGCCAGGTTTGAAAATATTACAAGTTCTAAAATATAACTTTCTTCAAATATGCTTCACTTTCCATCATATTGTTTTTACGTTTTTAAACACTGCTATTGAAACTCCATAAGAAGTGGGCAGAAAGGAGCACAGTACTGCACACTGTCAACCAATTGGCTAAGAGGGCAAAATTAGTCAACTCTATACTTTAAAAACCACTGACGGAAATCTGCAGTAGACCTATTGTTTATTATTAACACTACATTTGGCAAGCTGCACATCATGTCTGCAAAGCAGCTCTCTAACCAGATAGTACTGATTAGCCAGCTAATATTAGCATGTTATACTTGTGGCCTCAGTATATTAACATAAAATATCCTTAAGCAAAATGACTAGTAAAGTATCAGATCAGATAGATTTAGGCTGTCCTCAATAATTCTCTTTTTCAGCATATTTCCAAAACACAATGCAGGCTTAAGCATCTTGGGCAGGCTGGCGTCTTGCATCTCACTATGCAGTTTTAATAGTACCAAACAAAACTTAAACTTAGGATATATTAGCAAACAATCGTTGCAATCCAAGAAATACTTCACCATGTTTATATTGCAGCTTTCCTCGTGTCACTCAAAAATAAAAGATTTAGAACAAATATGTTCTGCAAAAAAAGCACTTGGAAAATATTCCTAATTTTAAAAGAGTTTTAGTTTTACATTTTTCCCTTCACTATCTAAAAGAAAACAAAATAACTAACATATAACAGTATTATTAGCAGTAAGGGTCACAATGCTTCCACTTCATTAGCAGCAGGAAAGCACTAAGAACACATAGTGCACTTTTACTTTAAATATCGGTTACTCATTAACAATGTGAAACCAATGATACACCACGATATTTTTACTCAACCTGTCACAAAACTGAGTGTAAACACACACACACACACATATATACATATATATATATATATATATATATATATATATATATATATATATATATATATATATATTAGGGCTGAAATTAATCGGGATTAATCGATTATTGAAATGATTGCCAACTAATTGAGTAATCAATTAATTGTTCACGGGAGTGAATGGACTCTAAAACCAAACCCACCTTGAGCAGCAGTTATATTAAAATTGTAAAAAAAAAAAAAGAAAAATTCGTTAACATTTTGCTTTATGCTCTATCCAGAACTCCTAAAACTAAAACTCCTAAAGTATTAGTTTCACCCGGTTTAATTTTGCAAAAAATCTTAAAGGAACCTTTTACCATCCAATTATTAATCGATTCATAGAAAGAATGATCAACTGATTAACCAATGTGCAAAAATAATTGTTAGTTGCAGCCCTAATATATATATGTATATATATATATATATATATATATACACTAAGGCTGACATTAATCGGATTAATCGATTATCGAAATGAATGCCAACTAATTCATTAATCAATTAACTGTTCACTGGAGTGTACAGACTCCAAAAAATGCCTTTAGCTGACATGGACACCCACCTTGAGCAGCAATTACACTAAAATTAAAAAAAAAAAAATTGCATTTAAGATAAAACTCCTAAAACTAAAACCTCATAAAGTATGAGTTTTACCTGGTTTAATTTAGCAAAAAATCTTCTTTAAGGAACCTTTTACTATCCAATTATTAATCAATTCAAAAGAAAGAAATAATCAACTGATTAACCAATTTGCAAAATAATCATTAGTTGCAGCCCTAATACATATATATAGATATATATATTGGTAATTGGAAAAAATGTTGGAATGCTGTTTTCTGACATTGCTCTCTCTGACATAGGATATTTCTTAAGGACTGAAGTTATCTATAAAGTTGTGCACCCAGCAATAATGTTTTCCTCAACTTAAACTTCTTTCTGTGCTGACTGTCAGCTTTCCACCCGTGCAGAGAGCAGCTGTGGATTATCTGTGTTCCTATTTTTGCAGCTATAACAGACCTGCAAGGGGGGGGGGTGACCTACCTGCTCTCTAGATATGCATGGCAGTGAGGGTCTGCGGGGCATTTTGCAGCTGCCATAGTAGCTGGTTGAGGTTTCTCCCAGTGAAACACAGCTGGATCTTCTCCTGGGTCTGATCACTGGGACCTTCTCCTCCGCGCTGGAAATCCCAGCTAGCGCTTCCCTGCTTTGGTAATAGCGGTCAAAGGAGATCCCCAGCAGGGAGCCGGAGACCCCCGCCAAGCAGGCCAGGAGCGGTCTGAGCAGCGCGGGCACACCGCTCAAACTTGTCAGGGAGAGCAGCCACACCACGCTGGCGAACACCAGGACCAGGACGCTCTGCTTGAGTCTGAGCGTGGGGATGAGTGTGAGCAGACCCACGCATCCCAACACAAACAACAACCTGCCCACCATTTGCATCTGGTGCTGCTCCTCTCCCCACTGCAGGAACCGCAGAACCAGAAAATCCCCGAGGTAGCACGAAGCTGGCAGTGACAAGAGCCACGATCTGCTGCTCTGTTTCTTCTTCCTCCTCAGGTAGAAGGTGAGGAAAAAGAAGGCGCATCCTATGCTGAACAGAGGACTGATGGACTGGGACAAGCCCAGCAAAAAAGTCCGCAAATCCCACAGCGAGTCACTTTGCAAGCTCCTGGAAATGAGAAAAGATACGGCGAAAACAATAAAGGCGCCCACGTACAGACCGGACACCTTTAACAGTTTGGAATTGAGGACGTCTTCATTACAAAACCTGCACACGCTGAACAAAAACCCCCTCTGATGGTCCTGTTTAAGGGGGGTGACGCAGCTCTTCACATAGCCGTTCCTGAAGCTCTCAGAGCTGTTTACACTTCCAGCCCCGTCGTGGTGCCTTAGTTTCCCGTGCAAAACCTCTCCTTCTTCCCGTGCGGCCATGGCTTCGAAGTCCCGTTTCTTGTTTCTCCTCAAAGGCGCCCCGTTTACAACTATTCACGGCTTATTAACGCTGAACTACATGACAGCAAACGCGCTCCATGGTCACTCTAACGTGTTCCAGCACTTGGACTAAAGAAAGAAGGTGAGATGTTGTTTTTACAGAAATTGCGCTCTCCGTCGCCCCCCACAGGTCACAACTGGGAACTACATGGCTTGGATATGTGAAGTCTCCTCTCATCCTCTGATACCACAATGTCATCTACTTGCTCTGAAGGCTCTGAAAACTTGGAGTACTCTCAAAACCTTCAATTGATTCAACAAGTTTCTGAAAAAAACATTTAGGACTATGCTAAAATTACTACTACTAAAGGATATATAAAAATAAAATAATTAATGTAAATGTGTGTGGGAAGTGAATTTGCCTTGAAAGTTATAAAAACTTTGCAAGCATACAACTGTTAAAGTCTTAAAAAAAAAACCTTGCTCTGCAACAGCGCATACATGAACAGTGTTACCATGAATAATAATAGCTATTAATATTTTGCATAATGTCCATAATACTAATGTTGATAACGAGATGAATTGAAATAGCTATATGGTCCCCAAGTGGTGAAATTCTAGTTTGAGAGTTAAAAGAAGTAAATAAGTATGACTGTAGAAAACACTTCTAGAGCAGATTACAAACAGTGCAAATAACAGCATACATTTTTAAAGGTTTATTATCAGTTACAGAAATGTAAACAAGTAGCATGCTGTAAAAGCAAAAATACAATCATCACAAGAAAAAATTAAGGTGTTTGCAATGCCCATTTTTAGACAGAAAATATTGTTTACTAAAAATGTGGCAGTCCATGTTAATGACGTATATTTTGCATTTATTCGTACAGCTATCTTGATAAGAAACATGTTCTGCAGATGGCTAATGCTCTTTAGCTTGTTTATATGGCCAATTTATGAGCTCATCAATTTGACCAAAGCTCCTCTAAAACACTGTGCCAAGCTCAGATTTTTTTACACTCTAGGTCTGTCCCTGTTAATATGTGCATGACTCTTTTACTGGCGACAAGAGGACTGTTTCAGAAAAGGAAAGTTGTAAAATAAAGTACAAGTGAATAAATTTGACCTGGATAAAACAACTGGGAGCATCCTGTCAATACTCATTTTTTGTATCCAAGTTCCAACTCCAACAGTTAGTACTCATAGCAAGGCTACCCAAGGAAATAGACAAACTTGGATATATATATATATATATATATATATA